TTATTAAATTCAATAGATAAATAAAAAAACGAAAACTGCTTACTGTCTTTTTATCATACTTTTGTTAAGTGAACCATTTTTAATGTTTATTTACGTTATTATAAAGTGGTTAATTGAAATAATTAAAAGTTGTTTGATTGAAAAATTCAAAATGATCTCCTATACCTGTAAAAAAACAAGTGGCAAAACACACATAACCGTTGATGCACCAGCTTGTATCATTGGCCAACCAATACTTTCCAAAGTGTGTTGGAGTTTTTCATGTGGTCCTTTGATTGGTATTTTTACAATTTTTTTATTCCGAATTTCTCGTCGATTCGTTAGCTGCAAAAATAAGCAAGTTTGAATGGAAAAAAAGTTCGCCATTGTACAAAAGATAAGTCACTACAACGTTGGTGGAATAATTAAACAACCATATCATTCAATGATAAGATAGTTAAAGCACAGATCAGATACACATGCAATGATCAAAAGTTTATTTGGATCGATTGATTACCTGATAGTGATAAGAGACGTGAGCGGTGAAATCAACCGATAAACCAATAGACATTAATATTGCAACCGTTGTTACTGGATCCAAATCAAAATGCCACCAGGACAAAAATCCAAAGACACCTAAATATTAAGAGATATAATTAAGAAAAACTAACGTTGCAGAAGAATAATTATAATTATACAAGGAAATCATCTCTCAGCAAGTTCCGACTAATCACTACCTCTAAATAGATAACTGCTAATTATTACATGAATCGAATAAATACATTTCCAGCAGTCAATTAATTTTAATAAATTAACTGCTGCTTAGGGGTTTTTTTTTTTGCTTCGGCATTTATCGAGATAACTATACTTAGAAGACTGGTTATTTACGGGAAAGAAATGTCCTATAATCATACATTTACAAATAAAATTAAGATTAATCCAAATAGTCAAACTAGATCATTATCAATTTAAAGGATTGATAATTACTTAAACAAATAATTAGTCTAAACTAAAGCAAAGATTTCGGATGCTTCCTTAAATAAGCATCCCATATAGCCATACCAATTATTCTAGTAAGCATCGAACTATAATTCATACCCTAACAGATACCCAATAAATTACAAATTCAATTACTTTATCTATCCTAACAATGGCTTATTAATTATAACTATTAATGAAGTATATTTTTACCGATACTTATGGATGCAATCGCGATAGAAGCCGTTATTATACTACAAGGGTTCGGAATAAATAACGCACAAACAACCGCCATACAGATTAATGTTAATGAACCGGTCTGGAATTATACATAAACTCATTATTACTAACAATAAGCTCATTTAATTAATAAATTAAGATAATTACTGACGCATCCATTGAATAGCTAAATAAAAGACTGCACTTTACGATAACTAAACGATGCAAATCATTTTATTTATTACCTGCATTGCAACTGTTTTCAAACTAAGCATTTGATCCACAAACATTCCATTTGCCTCCCAGACTGTCACATTTAAATCCTTAAATGTAAGTGAAGAAGCAAATAATGATAATTTCCATTTATTTTAAGGAATGATGCAATTCTGATTTTGCGGAATAAATAATAGTTATTAAATTCAAAAAAAATATTTTCTTGTTCTATTTAAAAGGTAAATGTTTATTACTTTGTAGTTATCAGCAATTTCACGCCATTTCTCCATCAACTTAATTCGTACTTCCCACGCTGACGTATTCTTATATGCGACAACAAACCAAAAACGATTTACTCGAAGTCCATCCCTATAATGCAATAACATATTAATAAAAAAGTAATTTTTATATTAATTTCTAATTTTGAAAATAATTCATTTAATAAATTACTTTGTGTTAGCAACGTTCATACACGTGTTCCAATGTGCATAAAATGGTGAATCAAGAAAGCCTTCCAGTTTGTCAAAATCAAGACCAGTTTCAGATTGTGAAACTTTATTGACTGATTTAGTATCTTCTAATTCAAGGAATGACCATACTGATAACATGGGATCGTCGTGCTTATAATAATGTTCGTAATCGCGGAGCCACAATAATGTTGAGATATTTCCTATCAAAAGTGTTGATGTTATTTATAAAATTAAAAAAATTTTGAAATTCTCACTATATTCCTAATAAATTCTGATAAAAATTTCAATGTTTAATTTCTCAGTTATATTTGCAAACAACCATTAGCCATATTGGATCACTCACTATCTCACCTCTACATAATGGTAAACTTTCAAAATCATTAACAAGTTGCCAAAATCGTTGCATTGGTTGTTGTTTCCGTATATCCAATGGATTATTTATAAGTACTGTCACTGGATGATATTCATCCCATACTTTAGCCATGAAAATCATATTTTAAAAAAATAGCGAAATTCAGTATGTTTAAATTACGAAGTTTAAATTACAAAACATAATACTTAAGCGAAAGTAAATTTGATAGCATTATTTATTGAGCAAAGCAACAAAAGCAAATAGAGCAAAGATAGGTCGCTTTTAAGAATTTTTTCCGTATGAAGAAAAAAAGTTAGTTAAGAAATAAGCTTGATAAAAAATGAAAAGTAATAACATACTTATATCATTAAGAATCCGATTAGGCCTTTGTATTGGTGAATCTCGGGGTAAAATTTTCACCGTATCAAGTCTAGTTTTTATATTCAATGCTCCAATAATAGCAAAATACCAATAAATAAGCACTGCAATGAATAAAAATAGCGTGAAACAGCGATGTTCCAGGATACGACAATACATTCTCAAAATCCACTTCATAAAGGTATCAATCTAAAATGATTGAATAATTAATAAAATTTATAAAATAGAAATTTTGCTATTCATGTAATTTCAACTATTTCAAAACTGCAGGTTTAAATTTGAAAATTTTTAAATTTGAATCTAAAATTTATGAAAATTCCCTTCACTTTTAATGAAAAAATGAAAAGTTATTCATTTATCTCGTAAGCAATTAAATCATTGACTTCAAAAAACAAATATGTTCTGTATCATATATATTGGTGTATATATGATACAGAATATACTTATTAATTTAATCTGTAATGAATTTAATAGAAATAAATAAAACCTGTAAACGCCATCCATACAGTAAAGGTTTTTGTGAACATGACGACACCGTATACTTTCTGTTACATTTTTCGCAATGTGAAGCTAATGCTAATACTGGTCCGAATAAAATTAATTCATACAAATAATCCAATCCCAATGCAATAGCTGTTGACACACAAAATAATCGTATTTCTGCAAAAAAATAAATAAATAAATAAAAATAATAATGAAATATATAAAGTTATGCTATTCTCAAATATAAATTGAACTACTTAAAAAAATCAAGTCTAAAAATAAACTACTCATATGTGATTCATTATTTAAGTACCAACTAGAATGTTATTAAAATTGCAATATTTTCGATTGATTTTATAAAGTTAAATCGTAAAAAAAATGTTGAGACTTATAAAAATATTAAATATCAATTAGAAAATTATTTCAAAAGATTTATAAAAAACATTAAATACCAAAATTTAAATATTATTATGAATAAATAAATTTCACCTGGTGTAGGAGTTAAAGCACCAATACTGAAAGAAATGAAATTAGTTAAGGAAGTAATTGTAATAGAGGGTCCCACTTCTTCGAACACTAAACCAAGTCGAGCACTAACACTGCTCGTGTGTAATGCCAAACGTTGCCATGGATGGATCATTAGAAATGCATCATCAACACCTCAAATCAATTATCATTCAATCAATTTAACAGTTTTATTTCAAAATTCTGAAATATTTTTGAAAAAAAAGTTTTCAAATTCTCCAATTGTAATATTCGGTTGATTTTTTAATTTCATAAAAATAATTATTTAAAACTTAAAATATTTCGTATTTTGCATATGCAAGATACAAAACAAAATATTACATGTAAAAATAACGATTAAATTAACAATTTATTAGTGATTATCATTTAGATATCTATTGTAACTACTCCATCAGATTTATTTCATTTATTTTGGTATGATATAAATTATAAAGGAACATCTAAAAATAAAATTCTATAATAAAATATGAGAAGAAAAAATGATAATATATAATTTTTTAATTGTAGAGTGAAAGAGAGAAATGCCTAAGAAAAATAAAATAGTTTTTTTTTGATAAAAATTTTCAAATTTCAAAAATGTCAAAATTCTTTGAGAAAATGATGACAAAAACAGTTCAAACTAACCAATGCCCATAATAAGAAATGGCATAACAAGCATGAGTGAATTAGTTCTAATACCAAAAAGTGATATGATACCATAGGATGATGTGATTGAAAGTATTGGACATAAAATGGAACCAAATGCCACCAAAACTTTGCCCCAATCCATCGCATTATAGAAAATTGCACTAGCAAGAACCGTAAAAGTTACAAAAAACATCATAAAACCAAAACCTGAAATTTTCGATGATTGAAATAGAATTCGAAATATTAAGTATTACTTGAAATGAGACGGAAGTAGTAATGCTGAAGTAATATAGAATAGTAAAGGTTAAATATATATCAGCAAGGTGAAAATAAATGAAAGTAACGTGAAATTAACAAAATTTATCAGTTTCAGGAGATGTCAATTTAAGTGTATTAAATGATAGAAGTGGTGTAAAATGAAGTAATAATGGAGTATTAGAATTAATAAATATATTATAAAAAACCTGCAGCAAAAAAGGGTGCAAGCTTTTGACCGTCTTTGATCATTTCTTGATTAAGAATTTCTGTGCCGATTACCTACAATTGTAAACAATTTTATTTCATTTAAGAAAATCTTTAATTTAAAAAAATCTATTATCAATTTGTAATATTTCAGTGAAAATTAGCGAACGTTTCACTTCAAATACAACCTCCATGTCAATCAAATTATTTTTGTAATGTTCTCGAGCGAATTCGAAAACAGAAAGCTCCCACAGTGACAATTTTCGCTCCATTTCAGGAGATGATCGGTCAGCACGATAAAGAGCCAAAACTACCTTAAATTCGAAATCAAATTTAAATTACTTAGAAATTCAGATTCATATCACAATAAGTATAAACAGTTGTGAAGAATCAAAAAAATTTTTTTTTGAAAGTCCCTTAACTGCAATTTATTTAAAGTTTAAAAATATCAAATTTAAACCTACTTTAACGAACTGCAAATTTGAGACTAACTGCGCATAGGATACATTTGGAGGTAATTTATCTGTGGTAATATTCTGGCCAACAAACACATCCTTTTTGGGCGTTTCTTTTATAGTAATGCCGAAAAAATTCCTCTCCAAATGAATGTCAAAGCCATCAATTTTCGCTACTGGATATGTCAAGGATGTGTCATAGGAAAGCGGTTCACCGTATTGTAAATGAAGCCGTTCAACATCAACACTTTGCTGTTAAATTAATTATGATGAATGCATTACTACTAATTAGCAAAGAAAATGAAGTACAAGTATGTGATACCAATGAACTTATTAATGTAAAAGTCTTTGTATTCTAAGATTATAATTGCTTGTTTTTGTTAATTTTTTTTTAATGATTGAAAAAATTTTGGTTGCTGTTGAATGAGTAACATACAGTAATACTTTTCTCACTCATACAGTAATACTTTTCAAAAAAAGAGTCAAAAAAAGTAAGCCAACTATTACTTGCCATATTTTTTTTGTAAAAAGTAGCAGATCTAATGTTACATCTCAGGTAAATCAACAGCTCAATGTTTATTACTCATGTATAATTATTACTCATCTTCCTTACAAACAATTGCATCAAATCTATTTTATCATGATTTTAAAAATACAATTGCGTCATGCAAAATGATTTTATGGTATAAATTTTAAGTGTAATCATTTTATGGATGAATTTTAATATAATCCAATTTTAAATGTAATTTTAAGTGTAATCAAGTCCAATCAAAAATTGTAAATAATGTCTAGTTACCACATAATATGCGAAAATTTTTAATGATATGTTAGCACAGCATTAAAATGTTGTGCTAGTATATCATTACAACAAAAATGCTAGCAAAACAAATTGTCATTGTAATAATACTAACAATTTATTTGTTAATGCACGCAATTAAATATTAAAGGATACATTTTTGCAAAAAATTAATAGACCGAATAATTGATGATAATATTGAATTTGCCATCAAAAAATATTTACCTTGAAAAGTTGTAGAGCGATATTCATCTTACAGTAAGGTGAGCAAAAATTTTCGTACATAACTGGCTGATTATCATATATTACACTATGATTGCTCATCAAATAAATGGTCAAACGTTCAACTTCATTCAAATAATCATCACGTAACATCGATCCATTATCTTTTGCTGTTAATAATACTACCGTAACCATTGGGTCACCTGGAAAGTAATTTATTATTACGATTATAATTATAAATATTAGAAGTGCAACAAAAAATACTTCTATTTAATATTTGCTAAATTTCTGAAAGAAAATTTAATTTATAAAAAAAATGGCGCTAATGTCTAATGTCTCTTTATAAGAAATTTTGTCCATTATTCACTACAAGATATGTCTCTTTCTATTAAATCAATCAGTCAATCAATTAAAGCTTGTTTGATTGGTAATGAAATTTGAATGAATACTGAAATGAATTACTTTCTATAATGCTTACATTTTTTTGCTTGCTAAATATTTTAGCTGAATTTTAACTGAATTAAAAAACAGTAATCTAAATAATGCAATTTTAATTATTCATTTGAAATGAAATTTCGGAAAATTTTGGGTAATCAATTAACTATCCCTAAGATTTTTACTAATATTTTTTATTATCAACTATTATTCAATAATTTTTTGCTACAACTCATTGAACACGATGTATTGTTATTCTAACATCTGCTGTATTTCAAATTGATAATTGTCTCTTTAATGTTATTACAATATAAAATTTGTTTCAAAGTACCGGAGGAGTTCCAAAATTCCCGTAACACGTCCATTTCATATCTGGACGGTGCATTTGTTGGCGTATAACCATCGCGTATTCGATCACGTAAAACAATTTTAAACATGCCGAATGAACTTGTTGAGATCAATAATGATAAAAGAATGTATACTATCGGGTAGGAGCCAACATTTTCACCTAAATTTCCAGTTAAAAGATCCACAATTAAAACTTAATTCTTAATCAATTGCAGTTGAAATAAAAATGAATTTTAGGAGCAAATTCGATCCACGTTGCATTTTACTGCTAACACAGTAAAAAAGTAATTTCACATTAACTATCTAACAGAGTAAACTATCACTATGCTTTGGATTGTATCTGTCTCTTAGTTAAATGAAAAAGCTATGATATGTAGCAGTTCAAAAATTATTAGAACAATAAGTGATAGAGAAAGAGATGTGATCTCTTTCTGATAACAGGAAGTGATAATATATTGAATCCAAAATAAATTCAATAATAATGAAAAGAGTAACAGTAAGATGTCGCAAATTATTCCTGCATAGAATTCGCTGATAATGAATGATTCACAAAATAATAATTGATAAAAGACGAAAAGAATATTTATCGGGAAAGATAATTTCGTATTTACATAAATTTGATTAATTGTTGTAATGATTTACCCAAAAGTCGGAATAAACCGCGAAGTGTGAGATACCTCCATAAGGAGAGAAGTTTGTTACGTCTTGAATCACTGGTGCATCCTGAATTTCCCAATAAAGTAAAATAAACGAATGAACGGAAATAATTTATGAAGTTCAAAAAATTGCAAATTACAATATTTTTGTAGACATCATCATTCTCAAAATCATTTTTACACATCATTTAGTTTAAAAAATTTTTTTCTTAACATAAAATTAACATAAATTAACAAAATTTAACATAAAATTTCGATATTTCTTCTCTAACATTTCGATTATTATAGTTTTTCAATTTGTGAAAAGGAGAAATGAGAAATATACTTTAATAATAAAGCTGTACTAAGTTTGATTTTCATTGGATTTGAATTTATTCAAAAATCAACCATGACTAGTAATTTGAAGTTTATTGAATGACTGGACTGACTGTTCATTCCAACATGACAAGTTATCGGTTCTTTCCAGATGACTGCTATCGGAATCATTTTTATCATTCCTTTCCATTTTGACCTCTTCCGACTGTTCGTCGGTCATCAGGAGCGCTCCATTGGCTGTTTCTTCCGAACTTTCCAGCGACATCTTTCATACACCTGATTTCTCCTCTCTTTTCAATTCTTCATCCACTTCATAATTAAACTCTTTCTCGTTTCCCTTGCTGGAAAAAATGGACGAAAAATAATTAATTCAGTGTGATTTACTATCAAAGAATGATTAGCGTTCTTCGCCCATGATTTAAATATATAAACATATAGATTATAATTTTAAATATTTTTGGTTTCCAAAAAATCAAACTAATATTTAAAATAATTTATATGTTTACACAATGACTTGACTTTTTCACAAAAAAAATTTAGCAATGGTATTATCAAATATTTAGTGGAAGCGATATATAAAAAATAATTTTGGAGATGGAAAAGCTAAGCTTCTGCGATATTTATTATAATGCAGTAATGAAGTATTAGAGCAGAATTAATTACTAATTTTCATGAAATTTTTTAGAAAAGTAATCGTTATCACATGCATAAATTCGATCGGTAAATCAGATTGAGATATTACTGATGTTTTGATATCAAAGCTTGCAAAGATTTAAGCTTTGATGAAACATATTACACATTAAAGTTATGCACTTATTCATATTAACAAATAAAACATTTGGCAAGAATTACATCACATTTGCAGTAATAACATTTGTTTGAAAATGTAAAATTTAACGGAAAAATTTTTTTGAAATTTTAAGCTAATATTATCATCAAAAGGCCGAAGGCGTTTAACTTTTTATCGTAAATTTCAGCAAAAATGTAAAAGCAAAATTCATTTTGTGGAAATGGTTAAATTTGAAATTTTTGGCAAATTTATACCATATCATATAAATCAGTGCAATACCAATTCACTTACCATTTATTAATTATAGTTTCAAATTTTACTTAGAAGTGGCTTTTATATTTTCAATATGTATGCGAAAAGATGAGAGGTAAGCAAGTAGACGTGAGATAAGTGAAGATTCAACTTGGAGACGTGGGAAAAGTAAGGATTCCACGGCATGGAAGATATGCATTAGTCAATATTAAAGCATTCAATACACAAATAATAATACAACAAACTTTTCGATTATAACGATCCATCTATACGACTTTATCGGTAATACTGAATGAATGAACAAATCTTGTTTTGAAAATAAATGAATGAAAATTGAAACAGATACGAAGAAGCGAGCTAATTGCTTTTCCTCGTTTAAGTTTAAGAAAAAAAGAAAAAAAAATTCAAAAAATTGTTGGTTTCGTTTATCACTGTTGTTCTTTACAACATGAAAAGCAACTTTAACAATTATCGAAAAACGAAAAATTAAAGATAAAACTTTTCAAATCTTTACTGATTGTAAAACGTTCCAACAGCCTTCAAAAATCTATCTCTAAACAATCCTTATTTATTCTAAGTAAATTTATCTGTCATATTTTTCCATTTGATGAATTTAATAATGAATTTAATGAAATTTAATGAACAACTTTTGCTAATTAGCTGCACTGTGATAAAATAAAATGCAGAATTGGAAATCCTATTAAACTCTAAAAACATGATTTTTTTCTCAGCCAAAGAAAAAATTTAAATTCAATATGTAGTATACACTAACAACAAAATTTTTGCTTTCGCATATGACATAAAAATAACAACCATATCTATTATTAATTACATTCGAATATATAAATATAGCAGCTTAATATGTGAAGAATTTCACATATGGACAGATATGTGTCGAAATGTAACACATAAAAGAATTTTATTTTTCAAACGTACAAGAAATGAATGTCAATAAATTAAGTACTGTACGAAAACAGCAGTTCAAAAATAAACGCATTCGATAGAATTGCTTGCGATACTGTAAAATTAAACTGTTTATATTTCAAACGGAGAAGTTATAATGCACAGAAACTGGAAACTTACTATACTTAATTCTAATAACAAATTCAAAATGGTTTTTATTTGAAAATACGAAGACTTATTTGACAATTAATTTGTAAGTAAAAATTAAAGCAGAAAAAAAAAATTTAGTTTTTATTTAATATCGTTCTTAAAATATATTTCATCTTCAAATATTTCATTTTGAAGAAAATAAGCATATAACATTATGATACCGTTCTTTAACTAAAAAGTTCAATACAATTCCTATCAATATGATAGGTTTAAGTGATATAATAAATTTTACATACGCATAAAGTGATAAGATTAATAACTTTTCTATGGATCAAAGATAAGATGATATCCTGAAGCGCTTCTATATCCAAAAAGAAAAAAGACATGAAGGATTGATTTATTTAACTCATCGAACGCCGCCTGAATGATGACACAACTATTTTTATATATAACTGATTCTCTAAATGGAATAGATATAAAATGAATGGTTCAAGATCGAATAAAATTTTCACAGAGAGCAAAATGATAATATCAAATTATCATATCCGAAAAATTGATAATAAAAAAGAAAAAAGCGCGACTTATCTCTTTGGTATACTAACAATTCTGATGTTTGCACATCAATAGCTTAAACAATTTTTACTTTTTCTTTCTTCTCCCTCCCCTCTCTTCCATTTCATTCCAAAATTCTGCATTTAGTCGAAATAGAGCAAACAGGACGACATTATCATATTTAGCACAATCTCTTCCATTTTTTATTAATGTTAATTTCTCTCTCTTCTAGACAAAGTGAAAAACAATTGAAAAATGACTTTCGATCATTTTTCTTATTTTCCAATTAATTAAATGATAATATATATTACCATATTTAATTCCATACCTTTTCGTCTCATTCCTAAAAAATATATATTTCACCGGCGATTTCTTTGTTTTATCCAAAACTATTTAATATCAAATGATAGCTAATACGAGCATTTACTCATCTATCCTTCTTCCTTCCCATTCATTTACATATCATCCAAACAAATACATCGAACCGACTGGCAAGCATCATTTGCATAAATCAATCGATGATGAATGAATGATGTGGCAAAGTGCCTTACTGTTAAGTTTTTCTCTTGACGATTCGACGCATGCAAATTCATCAAAACCATTTCATACAATTCATTCATCGATACTATCACATCAATCATTTTCGTAATATTTTATTTTGCAGAAAAATTTTCAGTAATGAATAATTTTTATTTTCACATAGTAAAAAGAAGTGAAAAGTCACAGAGACATCTCGTTGAAGTTTCAATCAAATGTTGTGGAAGTTAAGTAAAGTAAAGTAAGAGAATATCATTTTAGAATGTACGAAACTGAGCTAACTATTTGCGCTACATTTCATCTTTTAATAGCATATATGTATGTCGCCATATGTACTTGCAAAGTTTCTGAAAAGTAAACTATGCCCCCGGGAAGTATGAAAGTAAGCAATAGATGAAAATGAAAGCATGATGAAATGTGGTGGACATTTTTCAATTATATTTTCATCTCTTATTGCTCTTCCCGTTTTTGATGCCATGAAAATGGTGGAATTGAAAAGGAAACAAAGGTGACTTGAAAGCAAATATCAGACAATAATGAATGGTAAGAACAAAAAAAAGAAAACATTCAAGCAACGTTTTTGTTCGGGAATGCTTTCATATGCGATTCGAAAAATGTTGAGATTTAAAAATTCAGTTAACAAGCCAGATTAGTCCACAGAAAGGTCTTTATAGAATGAGCTGTTTCATCTCTCTCTTTTCGTCTATCGCTTATTTAGGACTTTCACTCTCTTCTATCACTTGTAAATAGTTATAAAAGCGAAAAGAAAGAAAAAAACTGATTCAAAAAAAATATATGTTTCACTCATAGTTGATCAATGATCCGTAAGATTTTGTTTTACATTTACATTTGCATTTAATAAAAAAGGGAAAGAGAATAAGTGATTATTTGCAAACAAATCATTGGGCTTTGTGGATAATAATGGATGATATGTGAAAGCAGTCATATAGCTTTAAAGTATTTACCAATCCATCTAAATGCTGTTTTTATATTTTGCAATTTTGTTTTAGAGCTAATTGGCAAAGAACGAATGATGTTAACAAATAATGACTATAAAATTTTAACAATGAATTTCACTTTAAATAAAAATGAATAATATTTGACATCTAAAGTATTCCACTTACGACCGGAAAAAGTTGCTGTATTCCTAAAAAACATGAAACAATGATTTTTTCTCCTTTATTATTCAAAATTAATTTGGACACAGAAAAAGATAATCTTTCTTTGAAAGTGCAAAAATTTAACTTATCTGTTACGGCAAATGTGAACTGCATTGATGCTTTCAGTGATAAAGTGAAGATAGCAATTTTGAGATAAGTGAACACAATTCCCTCCTATCTTTTGTTATTTTTCACTTCTAAAATTCATCATCCAATATAATTTCGGCTAAGAGAACTAATAAATGAAGAGTGAGAGAATTAACCTTTTACAAATACAATTGTTCAATTATGGATGTCATGATTACACTGCTACTGACACGAAAAATAATACCAATCACGGCTATCTCTGATTAAACTATATCAAAAACAAGATTGGCTTGTCATGCTACAAGTGCTTTCCGTGATTCATATATGTCATACAAAGTTATATCAGAAATTTAATTGATTATAGGCAGATAAATTTATCATATGCTTCAAATAATTTGTCGTCCCCAATTTGGCATTCAGTTCTCTCAGTTAGTTTGATACATACAATACCAAGATTCTCGGGAAAGTTAATTATTTCCTAATCTTTTAAAAGCAAATTTCACATTAATAAATGAAATAAAGTGCAATAAAGAAAATGATGAAAGAATGATTATAAATGGAAGGTGACGTACATCTATCAATATTTACTTTATGACATCCACGCAAATATATGAAGTGCAAAAGGGTGTAACGAATGGTCTACTGTACAGGTACTTTGTTTGCATAATTATTAGCTGTTACAAAGTAGTAAATAAATGATATCGTAGTAAAATTTGAGTAATCAGACTTGCAAATGGCGTAAAACTGTAAATGCCTCACAAATATTCATTGAACGTGATGAAATGGATAGAATCAACGTGAATATCTCGACATGGATCCATATGAGCAGATATG